GAAAGAACGAAAAGTATACGATAAAGTGTTTCCAGAAGGTGTTCAGAAAATGAGATATATGTGTAAAAATGCCCGAATCAAAAAGGGGTACTCTTTTCGAGAGTTAAGAAGTATAAGGGGCGTTGATTGAGCACTGGGCACAGAATGGGTGCATCCTGCCTGGTGCAGTGTTTACTCGAACTTCATGGTGAGCTACCTTCGACTAGGCGGTGTAGATCCTCCTTTGTTGTTCGATAACACGATTAGTTATAATGACATATGACGTTCATAGTTTATTAAATAATATTTCGGAATGATCGAAAGTCTTTTCGGTAATTCAAATTTGAACTGCAGTGTATAATGAGTTTTCTTATTCGTAATCATGCCAACGCTTATTATTCTGTTTTAATGACTCATTAGATGGGGGAACCAACGATATCGATATAATTGGTTTGTTTTATTCTTTTCACTAATGACTATTCATGAACGTATTTTTGCCGATAAAAAAGGGTACATATATTTTTATTGGTCGAGACATCGTATCAATGCTCAAGGATTTCTAGAGCAATGTTCCATTATTGTCATAACAGAAGATTCGTAATAGTATTTCCCAATAGTGTACGGTATTCGAAGGAAATACTGATTTAAACAGCAAGTGGTAAATATAAATATCGTAAAGTAATGCGTATGATGCAGGTGAAAAGACGACATCGGTTCAGTAACCCTCTCGGCGACGCCACCCCTATTATTATCCGTGACACGTCCACGCAACACTTTGTTCCGCTTCATTGACCTCGCTAATGTCTGTGTCATCGTATGACACTGCAAGTATCTTTTCCAGTTGTCGAAATAATTTGTTAACGAAGGGAGAATAGAGATGTGAAATATAGCAAATTTTTAGCACTTAATTTTAAAGAGGAAACATTTCTATTAATTATCGATCTTGTTATCCTAATTTATGTATCAATATTTCTAAGAATATCGTTCTTATAAAGGAGAGTAATGCGAACAATATAATACAAATTAATAACAATTATTATATTTTCAGCGATCATGTCAGGGACAAGCTGATGAACTTTTGAACACCTACAATGATGTGACAATAAAGATATCTTCTCCTACGTCCTTTATCATATCGCGGGGTATTGACCCTGTTCTACAGTGCTTCCCAGAATAGATCAAGAGAATGAAATAAAAATAATCATCGGTTAAATTGGTGATTAATAAAAACAGTGCCAAACGTCGATAGACAAGCCAATCAAAGTGAATATAGAGCATCTTGATATTTCGTTAAACATCGACAATTAGGGAGCAAAAGAGAAAGAGCAAAGATAGCAAGAAACAAAAGGTTGGCTACTGACTGTAAAACGCACAGAACAGAACGATTAGATTAAGTTTTAACGAAGAGGAGGACAGCACAAACAAGGGAAAATAGTGACAGTTATAGAAAAGAAAGCGAATTAATTATTGAAAGGTTACGCGAGGGAAGAATCACAGGTGATACAAGAGAATAAGAAGAATAGAATGGGCAATAAGTTGTCTTGCAGTTGTGCTCCTCTTATCAGAAAGGCTTATCGTTACGAGGATTCACCATGGCAGGCTGGCGCGAGAAACGGAATAAGCAGCAGCGGAGGTCGCAGGGGTGATACTGGCCACTTGCTCAGGTGCGGAAGCTTAAGAGAAAGGAAGAGGTGCGCATACCATACCATTCAACCATTCAGCCACTCCATTCAACTCCATTATCAATCTTTACTTTTTGGGAAGTTCTCTCTCTCTCTCTCTCTCTCTCTCTCTCTCTCTCTCTCTCTCTCTCTCTCTCTCTCTCCCCACCTTTCTACCTAATCCAAAACACACACACACACACAAATAAAATGCAGTGTAATTTCTTTACTCTTCAGGTAGAACTCATTCATTTGAGATACTTGTGCGTATCTTTGTTGGTCTTTTGTTATACAGTTAATCACATTTTTCTTCCTCAATGTTATCGTTCAAATAATTACATTTTTATTTCATTCGTTTTATTCAATACCTTTAAATAAAATTATGCAATATTTCGATAAATTTTTAAACTATGTTTGTCTATGTTTTCCTTCCTTTTAATGTTCGATATGCTCGAAGAACATTTTATCGTAATAATATTGACTAAATGCGTATTTAATTAAATTGTTCTACCTGAGTTCTTTTTCTTTCCCTTTCTTATTTATTTCTTGTTTCTTTACTTTTTGCTCTATTGCTTTTCTCTATCTCTCTGATACATGCACATACTCGTATTTACGTATATTCATCTACGCATTTGATCGAATCACTTTCTCTTCCTTTCTCTTTATTCTCACTTTGTTTTTCTATATATATCCTATTTTATCTATTCCTGTTCATCTATCATTTATTTGCTATATCGCTCATTATTTCGGCTCAAATTCCATTTTATCATATTTTTATTGTCCAAAGTTGAAGACCCAACATATGATTTCGTAGCAATTTAAAAGAGATTTAAAACGTTTCCGTTGTACACGTCGTATATTGTATTATAAATTTATAAGAATTTTTATAGATATATAAAATTTTCAAAAAATGAAACTCATCTCTGAGCATTTTTATTCATATAATGCTGTCACCTATCTTTTTATGCAGTTCTATTATGCTTCAGAGTATTATACCTAGATAAAAATATGAATCTATAATTTTTATAATGAGTTTTAAGGTTATAATCATATGTTTTATCGATATTATTGAGCATATTGCTCACGCACTTGCTTACAGTATACGCGCTCACATATGTGATTTGTTTCTGCACTTTATCCGGCAGCGGTTTGTGTGTATTTTACGTGCATGCTCTAACACTTTATTATTAATTTACGAAATTTAAGACCGTATCGCATGTAAATTGCAGTTTATAAAATTATATTTCGTATGAAATTTATTGTTTTCTATTTCGAAGTGAAAAATCGTGTACAATAATAGCAGTGTACAAAATACGATGATAATGGGATCGCGATGCGTTGTAAGTTTAATTTGTATGAAATATTATGCATTAGTTAATATTTTAACGATTACGTGCATGTCTTTTTAATGAAAAATACAAATATGCATCATGTCCTCTTTACTTTCAGAAAATAACAAAAACAAAAGAGAAAAAAAGAAGAAAAAAGCATAAATGAGGGAAAAAAGAACACAAATTTCTGTTTCGACATTTACATAAAATATTCGTTGAGATATTCGACAAATTTCACCTATATGGTTTTGTTTATTACAGATAAAAGATATTATTATATACGTTATAAGTCTGTTTCTTTCTATTATATCATATATAAGTACACGTATATGTATTTGTATAATATATCAATCTAGATAAATATTTCTCAATGTTAAAGGCAATATTTGTGCATAACAATCAATCTGGTTCTTATATGGGCTTGATTCGGTTAGTACGGGGATATGTATGATGTCTGATTTTATTTCGGATACAGAATCCGCCGATTCTTGTATAAACACGATTTCTACAGTGGGAGTAGTACAATCATGGTAGTACATAGCACGGTATTCTGATTGTTAAGGTTCTTATCTCTTTATGACTTTTCTTACGATTTTTACTCATTCTTTGAAATGACATTTGGTCTTTTCCTGTAAAATGTACAATATAAAATCCAAATTTGATACATGATTAGAAACTGCATAAAGTAAATATCTATATTATTTTCGATACAATTTACCAAGGGGACTTATAACATATAATAACGTATAACTAAACGAGATAAACCTAGATTGTATACAACATTCTTTTTTATCTAAAAAGATCTACTGAACACGTGGGCGATGTTTATTGAATAATATTCGCCTAATAAGTTATTTCGTAATGTTTTTGCCTAATTTTCTGTTTTCTTATTTACCATACCAGTAGATTATTTTTTGGAACAATTGCAAATTATCTATATAGTATGCGAACAAAGAAATACAGAAGAAGAAGAAAAACAACAAGAACAAGTATAAGAGGAAGAGGATGGAGGGAAATAGAAAACGTTACTCGCAGTTCCTAGTTATATCGTGTGCTTCAGACTAATATTAATATTTACGAATACGAATATTTTAATGCTAAATAGTATTCAGAGACTTTCTTTATTTGAATTGTTTTTATCCATTCCCTATCCATAGTAACCGCTACGATATATGTATTTCAATGCAAATAATGCTTTCACTATGACGTACAATTTAGTAATAAAAATTTTTAGACTGTGGGCTGAAGTGTTCCATGTAAGTGCCAGTGGGGGAGGGTCTGTAAAGTGGCAGCAGGTCTCTGAGGATTTAGTTCCTGTAAATATCATATGCATTCAAGATTCGCCAGAATGTATTTTCCACATTACCGCATACAACAGTCAGGTGGACAAAATTTTGGATGTACGATTGGTTCAACCAGGTAAGACTATTATGTGATCTTAATTATATTTAATACTTTTAAAATAATACACATGCGCATGAGCAGCACGCATGCGTATATGTGTGTGTGTAAAAACGACATAAATAGATGAAGTGAGTTTTATTAAAAGGCAATCCATTGTATCTGATGTCAATATTATTCTAGGTACTCGCATTGGACAAGCGTCAGAGTGTTTCGTTTACTGGAAAGATACGATGACTAACGATACATGGGGATTGAATTTTACTTCTCCGATAGATGCTAAACAATTCAAAGAATGTTGCGTAAGTTTATAAATTATGCAATTTATTGTATATTGTATATTGTATATTGTATATAAGTTTATTGCACAATTTGTTTATGTCATAATATAATTTTGCATATTTTTCTTTTTATCGATTTTCCTCCTTTATTGTAAGAACAGGCAATAAGTAAAAGAATATGGCACTGAATTGCAACTTCAATAGATTGCCTTATGAAAATTGTCTTCGTTTGAAACACTTTTCGATAATTAGATATTAAAAGAGAACGGGATTCATAGCATTCGAGTCATTTACAGTCATTAGTTAATTTTTCGTACAGTCTCTGTCGTCCAAGATTTCAAGGAAAGCGTCCTCTTCTTACTCGTTGAAGCTTGAACCACTTAACAAACAAAAAATCAACAAAATACGGAAAAAGCCCTTATCGACACCGGCGTCGCCAAGTAGGTCCAGGGAACCTCAATGTACTTGCATGACCTCGGAACAACTCGCCAAATTTCGAAACCCAGGACCTAGATATCGAGAATTTTGCGGTATGATATATTTGTCAAGACGTATATATACTACCATATAAATTAATCTCTTGATTATGTACTCCCTGATTATCTAGTACTTATTTTTCTAAAATGAAATCCTAGAGGCGGACTGTTTATCTCGTACTTATTTGGCGGTTCGCGGTTGTTAATACTTGAAATGGTTTTCTATAATCCTTTCAAGAGATCTAGAAACATCGGGGAAATAAGAATTACAAGAATTCTCACCTCTTTTTGAAGGATGCGTACAAAAGGCAGTCCGTGTCGAGGAGTCAAACGAATAACTTGCATTAAGAAATATACCACATGTTAAGTTAATCCCTGTCAATTAATCAAGAGTCTTTCTCAATCACCCAACTTTATACTTTTACATTTCATATTTATTTTGTTATACGTGATACAGTTACTTCCACGCTACCGCGGACTATGGCACGATCCACGGAAGTGGAAATGACACCAGCTCGTGATAAAATAACAGCGGCAACATCGAGTGCGTCTCTCTACGATAATGTCAACAATACCAATGTAACACCAGGAAAAACACCAAAGGCAGGTGAATCGAAACAAAAGGAAAAGCAAAATGAAACGTATCAAACTACACCGAAGACGGCAAACGTGGGCATTGAAACAGTCACCGTTGGATCGCAGGTAAATTATAATATCGTTTACATTCGATTCAATCTAATCAAATTAAGTTAGGAAAACAAGTTATTCCTATATGGATTGAATTACAGATCGATAGTCCAGAAGAGGAAAGCACGATATCCCCGGAAAAAGGTCGGAAACAAAATCAAGATTCGTCTACTCAACAAAATGGTACCGAAATGTTAAAGTCAGAAGGTACACAAGCAGGTGGTACATTACAAAATAAATCTTTGCGAAAAGAGCAGTTACATCATACGAAGTCTGCTGATTATACAGACTTGGAGTTGCAAAACGGAAATATTTTTAACATAGTGAATAATAATCATAGTGAAAAGAAATCAAAAAGCAAGAGTACAGATGATATGAGAATCGAAAATGCACAAAACGGTGGAATTAGTTTAGATTCAAATACCTTGAAAAGAATGTTGAAACCAATGTCGAGTATCGATAGTCCGGTTACGTCACCAGAAATGACTAGAAAAAGGCATAGCCACCACAATTATCATTATCATCCAAGCAATAATAATCAGAAGTACGTTATGCAAGAGACTGGAAATGAAAATTGCACGCCTCTTTATCGAGTACCGTATAATACCAAGTTCCAGACATCTAGAAGCGTGCATGATATGGGACGTCAATACGCTGGTACATACGATAATAATTTTATACACTATTCGATACGTGAATATTCTCTATCGATTTGGTTCTTTCAAATTTTTTTAAAATTCTATCGGATTATAGTCTGAATTAAATTTTCTTACTTAACTTGATTCGTTGATCGATGAGACGCGAAATTTGTTTTTACATATGACATATGTAAATATACATGTTAAGATACGAGACTGAAAATTTCATAAGTTTGAAATATTTTATAATATATTTTCCTTTTAAAAGGCACATTGTTTATTACGAATACTTGAGATTTTTGTTCTTTGATCGTTTGCACGTCATTTGATTATATAAATACAAATATCGAAAAAGTGGTATCTATTATATATAATTGTTGTGTCATGTACATAACGGCAGTGTATATCTCTACTTATTCTTAAATTATTTACGTATGTATATACTGTTTCATTCAAATTATCAACAATTACTAATGATTGTTCTTTGTAACTTGCTGCATGTTACACCAAGCGCAATTGCTAAATTTAATTGCATAGCTAAAAAGAAGAAAGAAACGAACCAAGAGTGAATGTTTTTACGTAAGCATCCCTGTTTCAAAAACAGCATCGTTACGAAAGATTATCAACGTAATATTTTTCTTGAGAAGTAGAAATGATCGAGTAACGCAATATGTATATTATGTTTGTGTATAACAATGCAGAGTAAAGTATACGCAAACACACATACACACGCGCGCGCGCGCGCGCACATCTTTGTTTCTCCTAATGAATTAGAGAAATATTGTACGTTCGTAAACATGCGACTGTCTTTTCCAAGAGTTATAAAGAAAAGGTAGTATTACATATTCTATAAATAAATAAAGGGGTGCGTAGTTGATTAACAGGGATGCATGGCGCATGTCAACTTACATCGTCGAATCAACGTGAACGCAACAAAATATCGATTCTTTACGTTCGACAGCTGAATACAATTATCACACCGTTTCCAATTCCTGCATGAAGCACCTGTTTGTTGTAGGCGACAGAACCAGGACCTATTTAGATTCGGAACGTAATCGGTGCACAGGTGATATGTCGCCGCCATCGGATAATGTCATCTTCGATAATCAGTGTTACGCGACTACACCGAGTTCATCGAATGGGAATTCGGATATGGAACAACCGACGCATTGCAATTCACGTCGTTGTACAGTTGGTCAGGCGTATCAACAACAAAACATGCAATCGGTTTCAACACCTGGTAGTCCAACTAGTAGACTTCTCCTTGAGTATGAAATGCATCTAAGGAACACATTGGCCAAGGGTATGGACGCTGAAAGCTACAGTTTACGTACTTTCGAGGCGTTACTAACGCAAAGCATGGAAGATTTAGGTGAGTAGTAAGCTTTTTCCTCATATTACCGACAAATTTCATCTGTATTATGTATACATATATCCTTTCTTTTTCCCTATTTTTCTTCATTTTTCCCTACTTCTATTTATCCCCTTCTCAGTCACTTTCCTTCTTTCCCTCCTCTTTCCTCCTTCTTTCTCTTCTTTCTTCTTCCTGCCGGCTCCTTTCTTCCTTGCTTCCTTTTCACCTTCCTTTCTTCTTCCTTTTCTTTCTTCTTCCTTCTTCCTTTTCTTCCTTCTTCCTTCTTCCTTCTTCCTTTTCTTCCTTCTTCCTTTTCTTCCTTCTTCCTTTTCTTCCTTCTTCCTTTTCTTCCTTCTTCCTTCTTCCTTCTTCCTTCCTTCTTCTGTACTAAACCGAGCGTCAATGTTGCAGAATTCGCAAAAAATATACCGTTGAACATTCAACGTACACCTCACGTTTCACGAAGACGTAAGTTTTATCAAGTATCTCGTTTAAACCCTTAAAAGTCTTCGTTCATATGTACATACTCCAAACTAAACTACACCTTATTCAACTTGTTGATTCTGTTACATTACTTATCGGTATTTAATAAATAAGCGTGAAAAAGTAAATAATTGAGGAAATCTTTCGACAATTAATGAATTTCACTCGAAGATGAAATTTATCGTTTCCTTTCTCAAATAAAATATTTGCCATGCATGTTTAATACATAATTCAATATTTTCACAGGTTCTACTTCCAATAAATCATCAACTTTACCACTATCTTATCGTTATTGCAACGAAAGGCAAAATAGTAAGGATAGAGATGGTTACTATAGTGATCGTAATGAAATTATCAGAGAGAAACGAGACAGAGACATTGATCGAGATCGTGGATATCTTAGTGATTATAATTCTAGGTAAATTTTTATGTTTCACCGTTAAATTGTAAAATGTATAGGAAATTATATAATATAATTTTTATTTAATTTTTTGCTTTCGCTTTACCTCAAAACTAACTTATGAAATATTATAACTTAATATCACATAGGGGATATACTATATATAATCCCCTCGTATCAATTTCTCTTTACCACGTTTAACGTAAAAGTAACGTTTATTAAATATACGTTTGTTAAATAACGTTAAAAGTCACGTCTATTATATAGACATTTCAAAATTTTAAGATGTGCTAGCTGCGTTGGAGAATCTGCACGTGCACAGTGGTTTCGACATTCCGATGGATGGCAATCTGGTAGTTCGACACTTGGTTCTGGCGCTTCTAGTTCCATGAATCCAAGTTATTTGGGACATAAACGAGATTCAACGTGGGATTCTTTACCATCTTTAAGACACGAGGGTAGCCTCAACGATAGCGGATATAAATCGAATCGAACCGATTCTTTAGAACAAAGGTGAATAATTTGTATCGAAACAAATATTTAACTAGCCATGTCAATAGAAAGCTGTACTTACAATTATAAATTTGCGCAATAACAAATCCTTAAGATATAACACTTTGTGTGTGTGTTCTTTTTTGTGATTTTTCAGGGGTACATTTGATAGACAAGACAGCGTGAGATCAGATTATATGTCAGACCGGGATGGCAGGTACGGAATTGTTCAACAAGCTTCTCTAGAGAGCACAGACTCGAGAATTTGCTACTTGACGTCCTCAGAGGTGAGTTCCTTGAGTAGTTGTTGACCTTATCAACCCGATATATCCACTTCAGCAATTCGCTACTACTTTAGCTAGTCAAACTTTATAAGATGAAAACAAAAGTGCTGATATTTTACAAATAACAGACGCGACAAAATACGATAATCGAATTGAATCGGGTTTGAGAAAGGTGCACACAATGGAGCAAAGTAGACGGTTGTTTTTTCCTTTAATTTGGATAATATCATCGACTAATAGAAAAATTCTTTCGCCTTACGTGTATTTCATTCATAGAGATTTGATCTGTAGACAATAAACGAAAAAGTTATTTTCCTTGTTATTCATAAATTGATTATAAAGTAACAAATAATACATATAAGCGAATATAAACGCGACATATCGTATTGTTACTATATTTATACAGTAAGTGTATAGTGGCATGTGAGAAAGGACCATGCATGTTAATGAACAGAAAAAAAACGTGTGGCTATCGATATGGCTATTCGTTGAACGTCGATAACCTACTGACCCTGCCTTCACATGTCTTGCACGAGTTACCTTTCAGTCTATTTCTATGCGTCGTACTTGAATGCTGAAGGTATACAGTGTTGTCTCTCGCTTTATCTTTTCTTCTTTATCACATCTTACTATGGTATTACACGATACGATATGATACGATACGATATATATTCAAATTTGATAAAGATCGCAGGAAAGAGCGAAAGAAGGATGAATTTGGTCGAGATAACTAAAACTAAGAAATCATAAAAAATGAAATATATTAGTACGAGTTCAACAATGTTGAACACTGTCGTACACAGATTATCGCATTATTTTAGTAACTATAATAACTATGTTTTACCAACTTATTATGATATAGACCCATCACATTTGATGTCAATTATTCTCTGTAAAAGGTATACAAAGGTGCTGTTCATTTCTCGTTGTTGCTTACGCTGCTACTTTTCCACCCAAAACGTATTACAAACGTATTCATCCAGCCCCTCTCCCTCTCCCCGCCCTCTAATAATTCCAGAAGAGATAGAAAAAAGGTGCAGGAGGAGAAGCAACAGCAGCGATAACGACAATAGCAGCAGCAGTAGGAACAGCATCAACGGTAACAGTAAAAGCAATATCTACAACTCATTTCCCTCTACCGATTCCTCACCATGCTCTCCCACTCGTTTTGCTGCTGCTGTTACCCATTTTCCCATTGCAATCTCCGATAGTTCCGGTACCTTCGCAAACTCTCGCCAACCCTTACCTTTTCCTATTCCTCCTATCTACCCCTACTATTTCGAGTAACCCGACTATCCACGACTACCGCAACTACCCGCCACTACCCTCGACTATCCTCGACTACCCCCGACTACTTCCGACTACCCTCG